GTGGGCTGAAGTGTGCCGTGGAGCCTGAACTGTCTATTAAACAGCGAATAAAGCATAAATCGTTTCGGATATATTTTCTTTTCTGCATTTTATATTCGTTGTCGTTGTGCCAGTATGTGTGTGTATATTTTTTTTTTCTCTCACAATTTTCAATGGGGCACAAGATACTCTCATGTTTCATAAGAATGCTCGTATTTTATATGGGAATAACGAGCATATTAAATTAAACTTTACTTTGTTGAATGTTCAACATTTTTGGTAATTATAATATGCAAACACACAAGGGATACACACACAAACATACACACTCACTCATCCACATACATGGCATTGAATGATAATAAAAAATGGATTTTATTTTATCACTTCATATGAATTCTTAACTAATACCGTTGCCGTTTTCAAACCACACATAAAGAAGGCAGTTTTACATTTACACACGTTTACATTGTATAATCTAATGATTTAGTGCCACATCAAGGCTTATGTTTGCCGTACATGGACCGGAACGAAATGAAACCTGAATTGACTGTCGCTCACATATCTCTGACGCATTCGAGAAACAGAGAAGCCGTGTCAAAACATTATCTGCTTCTAATAAAATTTCACGAAAAGCCGAGAAATTAATGCGTTCAAAACGTATGCATAATAACGTCAAATACACATACGCACACACACACACACACCAACCACGTGAGCAGCGAGCGAACAAAAAAAAGTGCGAGAGCAAAAAAAGCAATAGAAAAGAACGAACATGAACCAAGGGGATAAAGAAACTTTCATAAACACATTAAAATGCGGATTAAATCAAGTTATGGAGACATGCATATTAAAAATTGAATGCGGCAGTAGGAGTGAAGTGACAAATGAGAAAACAGAACAAGAAAAAAATGCGCACAGAAACATGGGTTTTTGTGTGTCGTGTGTAACTAATTCAGTGCTCCCTCTGAGCGCAGATTATCAATTTTAACGATTGAGAGCAGAATAACAAGGTTACATAACCGATTTGCATTCACATCCATTTTTTTTTCCTTCGTTTCTTCGTCTTTATTTTGCCATCCACCCTCACAGGCCGCCTTCATTCAATTCTATAGCTACCCACATCCCACAAACACTACTCCACAAGTGTTTGTCACAAACTCGAATTGAATTATCTCATCACATTTTATGTCTAATAATAATGGAAGAAGGAGGCAGAAAAAAAAACGAACTCGTAGCGCCTTTGGCTGAATTTTCGTTTTTGCCCGAAAAAAAGGCGACGATGATGATGATCTATTTTCTAATCGCTATGCGTGCTCTCTACCATCTTTCTCAAGCAATCGACGTGCTTGCCCGATGGCAGATAAAAATGATTCACGCTCGCGTTTCGGCTTCTTCATGCTCAGCCTTTTGTCGAACACACATTTTGAAGCAAATGCTCCGTGTTTTTTTTTCTTACTTCTCCGGCATTAACCATAAATTATTGCGATTATCGTTGACACGCGGTAGCAATGGAGCGTCTACGTGATTTGTCTACCACTCACTCTCTTTCTTTCTCCATAACACACTCACTATATCTTTCTCTCTATCTCGTTCAAAATATTTATGTGCTTTTGTGTTTTCTATAACAATTTTGTTGGCTACATTTTTTGATTATTTATTTCTAATTTACTGTACTCGAACGAATGTCATTAAGAGTGATGTACGAATTTTCGAACAAATTCGAGAGACCCAAACAGTTACAAATGCAAAAACATAACAGCAAAAAAGGCAGCAGCAAACAGAAATCTGAAAAAGAAGCAGTCTCACTGCTTAATTTATAGCATGCAACATATCGTTCGGATCCTGACTAAGAGTCTGTTTAGCAGCAGCAGTAGGCAACACAACTTTTTGTATCAGCTCGCTTAGTCATCACATTCATTCATGCGAGAGTGAAAAAAAAGTGAACGAAATTATGTATTATATATATAAACAAATGAACAACGAAATGACAACCGACAAAGCAGGTAGAGATAGGCATAGGTATGAATATAATTGCTTTATAGTGCGTGCTGTTTTGGTTTTCGTGATTGTTTTCGTTTCCATTTGTAGCTTTTTTTTCTCTTTGGCTGTTGCTGTTGCTGCGGCTCACTTTTTCTCGTCGGTGAGCCTTATCGTCGTCGTCGTCGTCAGCTCGGTTGCCATTCGCGCTCGGCTGAATCATTTTTTCTCTCCGTGTATTTTGGTTTGGGTAGGTGTACGAAGACATCAAATATTCAGTTTGAGGCTTTGTGCCGAATAAGCTAGCATGAATTAAGGATGCCTTTTTGCATCGTCAGGACCAATAAATTTAAATGGAATGCAGACTGAATGGGAACTAGACAACAACAACAATAACAGCGACATCGGAACGAAGAATGACTAACGACACTTACACACACACGCACAAGAGGAAGAGCAAGAGTGAGGAAGAAAAAAAAGAAGAAGCGAAGATGAACGTGAACAACGATAATGAAAGTATCACGACAAATGGCAACGATGACAACGTTCGTTCTTTCGCTGTCGTGTGTAAAAGAATAGACGAACACAAGATCGCAATAAATTTATCACGCGCACATCCTGTCAACAGAGTCATTTAAAAATTTACACATCTCATGGCTGATTTCCGCGAAGCATTTGGCAAAAAGCTCCTTTTCTGGTTGAATAAATAAATATGTGCGCGCGACATCGTACATGTACGAAAATAATTGTTGAGCAATTTATATGTGTGATGCGCCACTTGCGCCGACGACAGCGACGACGAGCATTGGGTTGAGCAGAGAGCAAACTGAACGGTGTGGCGTACGAACGTGCACGCAAACAAGACAGGGGACATAGAATGGATTACGATCATTAATGTCAAACAAATATCTATCATTGATATTTATAGCGATGAACCGTTTGATATATGGCCATGATATGAGAAATATTGCGTAATAAATGGGTGGAAACAGTACGTTTGCATTTGCAGGTGATTAATATATTAATAATAAAATAATGTCAAAGGATTTTCTCAACTCGACAAACGATATCACTCGATTTCCGGAATGGAATTTGCCTCCATGCTCAAAATCGGTTGTAAGCTGCTTACAAGGTCCCAAGTGCACATCGCATTTAACATTCCGAGGGACGTGTGCGAGAGTGAGAGAGCAAGAGAAAGAGAGGTAGAGAGTGAACGAGCTTGAATTTTTGAACGGGATTTCGAATTGTGTATTTGTACTGTACCGTGCGCTACACAGCGCATATACGAACCACTTGCCATGACACAGGAAATGAACACTAAAAGCATATCGAAGGGTACGAGGTAAATAAGCGGAAATTGTTTTATTGTTTATTTTCAAGCCTTTTCACCATTTTTATTGCGCATTTTAAATCTTTGTTCCACACAACAATCAAACGGCACAAGAAAATGTGTAACAACCAAAGACGAACTTTATGATTGGGTGAAGAAAAAAAAACTTTGTGGAAAGAAAACTCAACAATAATGATGATTAAGAGAACGAAATTAACTGAAAAAGTGGAAAAACGAAAAGAGAAAGAAAACATATCCACGACTGTTTGGAAAATAAAACAAAGATTGAGTTTCTTGATTCGTTTCGTAATTTTGTTATTGTTTTTTTTTCTCCATTTTGAATGTTTTTACAAAATTCAGGAAAATAAAGAAGTAACAAATTTTAAAATATAATTCATAAATTTTATCGTGCAATGCAGCAAACGAGAATAAGATGAAATGGAAAAAATGACGACCACAACGACAACGAAGGCGGCGGAAAACGAGAAGGGCCACGGTCACATTAGCTGAACAAGATGCAGTTGTTTATCTCTAAATTTTCCCATTTTTCTCTACCGCTGCCTTCTCTCTCTCTCTCTCTCTCCTGCTTGAGTGTGTGTGTCGTCTGTTTTGCCCGTCCATTCGCCTTGAATGTGCCGTGACTCAGAAGAACAAAACACGGCAACGAGTTTAAATAGAAATGAGTTGAGACAAGTAATCCATAACATGAATACATTCATTAAGTATCTTTCCTTCGTGGCCGTGTTCTTTTTTCCTTTTCTCTTTCTTTCTCGTTCGTTGTGTAGTTTTGTGCGTTATAAACATTTTTGCATGAAAACGAAGGAGAAGAAGAAAACGCAGCCGAGCAAAAATGTCATAAATTTCGCCCAAGGGAAAATCACGTCATTGTCATCCACAAACCAGCTTTAGATCGATGTAATTCAGTTGAATGAAACGAGGAAAAAAGTACGAGTGAGAGATAGTGAGATAGATAGAGGGAGAAAAACGTACGAAAAGATGTCTAGAACAATTACGGACGCGAAACGAAACAATAACATAGCTAGCAAATTACGAACGAACCGAGAGTTTGTGTGTGTGAGTGCTGCGAGCAGAGAAACCAACAAACAAAACCATTATAATTGAAACGTGAAAGGCTATGCCAACATACAAACGTACACACAGAAAAAGAGAGAGAGAGAGAGAGAGAGAGAGAGAGAGAGAGAGAGAGAGACCATTAGGCTGCTTTAAGCTTAGTGGAATGGACTTGGTTGTATTTTGCTGTTTTTGCCTTAGTTCTATTTTCTGTTTTGTTTCATTTTTTACATATCCTAGCAATCCTTTTTCTTCTCCGGTTTTATTTACATTTTTGTTACCTTCGATCCTTTGCGCTAAAAAATGCGCAAATTTGACTGATGCGATGTGTTATTTCATGCAATTCCATACTCGAAAATGTTTGTCAGAAATATTTATATGAGTTCTGATATCTCTCGTTCTACCTTTCTTTCTCTGTTCTGTGTTCTCGGTGCTTAACTTTTTGTGTGTCATCGTCATCGTCATTGTGCATTTGTACAATTTCTCTCTTTATTCTCTACCTTTGTTCCAATTAACATAAAACAACTGCTTCTTCTGACAACGATGTCATGTTTGTGCTAAGAAACACATCATTCTCCCCGAAAAAAAAACTACCGTATCATCTCGTGAAAAAATGATATGCAAACACATATATACTTACTCTTCGGTTTGATTGCGAACAAAATTCAGGAAGTACACGGCAAATTCCTCAATGCTGCATTTCGTTCTCTCCTCATTCTGCAAGATAAAAATGGATTAAATGGCTTTATTTTTCAACTTTGTTTCACATTGAAATATTTGGTTATTTGATCCTGATAAAATGTTGAAGCGATTAAATTTTCTCTCATTTCATTTTTTCTCTCGAAAAAGTCTAGCACAACACAAAATTACACGGAGCAAAATATGAGTTCATGGCAAATTTACGGCGAACGTTTAGGGATTGGATATTTATTCCTAAACATCGTTGTGATCCAAATGGGCTTGTCACTTAAAAAAGGTGTGTTTTTGCAATCAATAGATTTTCCATTGAATGCTCACGACGTGACAAAAGAATAATGGGCAATTCACAACATGCGTATTGGCACCAGCGGGCTTTTACAGCAACGATGGATTCAAACATAGTTGACGAAAATTGCCAGAGTGTTACAATTGAGAGAGAGAGAGAGAGAAAGAGAAAGAGAAAGAAAGAGGAAACAATTTCCAAATGTTTATCATATCAAAAACTGTCACATCCCAATGATAGATCACCCCATATTCTAACATCAAATAATTTCATCCGTGCAGCAATCGATCGAATGTGACTCACACACATGAAAATGCCAAGCTTCATTGCAATAGCCTCGACACATTATACAATTTTGTTGAACACACAGTGTTCCTGTGCTTTCGCCTCATTTCCTCGGCTCATAACAGTTTGTTCTTTTTCGGGTTTTATTCATTGCTCACGCAAAATTCGTGGGAATTCGCCACTATGCATTTCGGTTGGGAAACCCATTTCGTAATTTCATTTGGTTCGAAAAGAAAATATTTACCTTTCAGTGACAGTTGGAAGTTTTTTTTTCCTTTGCTTGTTCTTTTCTCCCGTGTCAGTTGCGCGTATATGTGTTAACTAGAGTATATCAAAATAAAATTTGATGGATGTTTCATTCCCATTCCAATTCCAATTCGTTTGTGTATCCGCGCCTGCTTCGCTAAACTCTTTTTAAATTCTTGTGTTTTACGGTGGCACACGCACCGTCGCGTACACGCATACACACACGCAGATAGAGCGCAAAAACAACACAAGTCGAAGTTTTTCAGCTGAACAAGAATAGATGAGGTGCGGGCACATGGTTGGTGCGTGTGACGAGGTATAAAATATCATTTTATCAAACCAATGCCGTACGCCTACTTGATAAGATCCATATCTGTTCGAGTTGAAAAATTGATTACAAGCAAAAGCATTTGAATTATAAATGCCGAAAAAGCCCATTCGCATTCATGTTCTTCCCGAATGTGCGGATAGATCATGGCGGGAGAACGAGCTCTCGCACATTGCATACGATATTAATTTTAAAACGCTTTGCAATGTGCGTGCTTACGATAATTGTTTCATTCATACAGAAAACGGTTGAGCGCGGAGGGGCGCAGGCAGCAACCATGTGAGCGCTGGCAAGTACCATGTTTGTGTATTATTTAATGAGCATTTTACTTGCAAACACATTGAACATTGCCAACATTTTCAGGCGAGGCAAAGGATTTTCTCTCGTAATAAATACTCTCACTCTCTCGCTTTCTCATTCTTCGCCATGGCAAAAGAAAACATCCCGAATGCCAAGCGCCACATCGTCAAACTGCATGTAAATATACAACGGATCAAGTACATCTACCGACAGCAATGTTTTACAATCCTAATAAATAGTTACTTTTGTGTGCGCTACAATTTAAGGGCATAAGTAAATAAACTTTAAAATTTTCGTAACGCTCACGCTCTCCAAATTCCCACTCTCTATGTTCTTCTCGCAGAAAGCAATTTCCATTTTGGATTTTCGCATCACATCCGAAAATATTCCGTTCAGCCAGCCAGACAGCCAGCATTCAATTCAGTTTTTGGTATTTGTTTTGTTGTTATGGTTGAAAATTACGTATAAAATAAACGAATGTAGGCAAATTGAAAGCCAACGCAATGGAATGGGGTTTATTCGGTGAATATCTTGGCCTTATTGAATAAAACTTTTGTGAAATGAGCATTCAACAACTTGTTATCACGTCAAAAACATAAAAATAACCCAAATGTTTATACGTATTTGATTTAAACATTTTTACGTTGTTTCATGCGCAACTTGAAATTATTCTTCGTTTCGGTATGTACGTAGTTGTTGAAACAAATAATAATAATGAACACGTAGTTGTTGAAACAAATAATCTTTTTTCGGCTGTCTGTGCCGGAAATTTGTGGCATCAACGAAAACGGATTGCGAATCGTTCAGATGATTGTTTTCTGTTTGCAACGTCAAAATCTCCCCATGTTCATGACATTTTAAAAATTATTCTTCTTCGAACTAGCAGCGCGTTACGTATAAATGCGGAAAAATGAAGTTCTGAAATCTTATAATTTCTGCATAAATGGAATGTTATAGCATTTAAGCTCACTAAATTTACAGACGATTTTTTTGCTTCTTCTATCATTATTTGCCATGTTCATAACGAGTGAACATGTTTCATAAGATAAAACCCTTTGGGCACAAGTCAAATCCACTTGTATTTACTTAAGCGCATAGTAGAAATATCATCAGAAATATTCGGGATTTTTTTCTTCTCTGTCGTCGTTGTGGGTGTATATGTGTGTGTGTGATGTATTTCATCATCTCATTTCATTCTCTCATTTTGTCAACATCCTTCTTTGCCACCGTCGATTTATTCTCGTCATGGAATTTATGTTAAGTATATGACGATCGATTGTGGATATAAGCTTTAGACACACATAAATTCTGCTGTTATCTGTCACATTGGCACACAGTAAAAGTCGTTCATCTTCGGCTCTCTCTCGGTGTGTGTAGTGTATCGTCTATTCCAATGTACTATGTGTACTGTTGCTCTTCACGCATCTAGGCAAATAAACTGCAACAAGCAAGCAGTTCCACATTCGTTTAAATTTGATTTGAATGTCATTCATCCGATTTTATGCATATGTTGATTTCGTTTGTCTATTCAATGCTCTCTGTATGCCTCTCTTGCTCACTCGCTCGCTCGCTCGCTCGCCATAAACTCTATACGCTAAATGGCTGGAAGCGAGAAGTCAGAGAATTTAGATAAAAGGCGCATATTTTATGTACCAGTAGTAAAATGAAAAGACTGCCTCCTATTCCGTCACGTTTTTGAGATAGTACATCAGTTGGTAGATTTTTTTTTCATTAAAATATACTACACAACATATAAAATGTAACAGTGTGAAAAGATCACAGAGCCCCAACTTCTGCTCCGTTGTTTTGAATGAAAAGCGTATCAAAGGTGGAATTGGGAAGTTCCAAAGAATATGGTTTTCCATAGAATACGGAATACAAATGAAATGCGTCTCAAAATGGGCCATATGGAAAGCTAAGATCTTGTCTTCGTCACCGTCGCAATCAAATGAGCTGAAACATTTTGAATTTCGTCACATGTGCGCTAAATATTGCTGCCAAAATGCTTTGAATCACTTGCACGTGTACAAATAAAATGACGAACCACCGTCATACTGAATAACCCAGCAATCACCAGACATATCTTTTGAACTTTTCAAAGTGTCACGATGGAATTTATTCATTTTCTAAATTGTGTTTGTGTGATCGGCACTCTGGCCTACGTTCATATATTGCCATTGTTGCAGTCGGTGTTGCTGTTGTTCTCGCTTTCGAAATCTTCAATTCATTTCCTTGGCACGATGTGAAATGAGTTATTTGAAGATCTCATGCAAATATTTCTCGAGTCAAAGAACTTATCCAGTTTGAACCTCGACTCAAATGCAATCATATAATATGCACACAAGACACAAGTACATAGCAACCGTTGATGCTGCTGCTGCTGTATCTTAGTGAACTGAAGGAATTTGCGGCAAATGTAAACAATTTGTATTTAAACATTTTCCCTGAGTGAAGTCAAGAGAGACTGGCATTTGGCATACCAAAACGAAACGAAGAATGAAACCGAACACAGAAATTAAAAAAGGGAATTGATTTTGCATGTTGTTGCAAAGTTACCATTTGAGTAAGCAAACGACGATATATATTGGATGGGTATAAATAAATTCAAAAGCCGGGATAAGTGTGTGAGAGAGTGAGAGAGGGAGAGAGAGAGAGACAGCCGTGCAATGTATCAAGCGAATAAATCTCATTCCAGAACGTGGCTGATGCAGTCTGTGCAATAATATGTTTACGCATATCGAGTGAATTGCTGATGCACCAAACGAAATGCACATAAATAAAGTACACACCACACAGAGTAAAAGAATTATCTGGAATATGGCATCGACATCGACATCGACATCGACATCGTGTGTTCATTCTCTTTCGCTCTGGCTCCCGCTCACCCGAAAAAGTGTGAAGTGATAAAAGGCTGGGCGAAAGAGAGACAGAGACACACAAAAACAAGTGAAACGAGGAGCAAGGGAAAAATTGGCATGCATTTAACAGTGTTTTTGGGTGTGAATACTGTCTGTCTGCGTTGCACTTTTAATTTGAATTGAAAGGCAATGCGATATATATAACTGCAGTAGAAAAAATGAATCCGGTAAGTAGGTGTATTGTTATGTGGTGTACACATCAATTTTGTTATAAATTTTCAGTATTTCCATCCAATTTCGAGTGAAACAAAGGAGTGACGGCTTTTTACTCAGCACACACAGAGACAGTGCAGTGGAGCGCATAGCAAAGCACACTACACAAAATACGTACGTATATCAACAGTTGTGGCGGTGGCGGCGACATCAAGAATCCAAAAAAAAAAAACAAAGGAATAAAATGCTGAATTGAATTCTAGCCACTTTTCACTGCAAACAAAAACTTGAAACGAAAAGAAGAACCTCGAAAAAAAAGGAACGAACGAACAGCGCAACAGAATCAATTGATTGCTCGACAAAGCCAACAAGAATATATATAAATGTGCATTGTGTCGGGTGCTCTGTTGGCATCGCGTATTTACGATTCGAATGGATTGGATTGGATTGGATGGAAAATAAAAACCGCACGCATTACATTTACATCCACAATAAACTATAATAA